TTTTTCATTCATTCTCGATGAATTCTGAGGGAAATGCGAAATGCGATTGATGCGTTTCGATTCGATGGCTCATTTCGATGTGTGCGTAATTTGAGTAATTTTCATCGTGGGATTTGAGAATTTACATTCGTCGTCGTCAGTTCAGTGTCATCTGTCTCCACTTTGTTTTTGGTGCAGCATCGTTATGACGGCACACAGCTCTCTCTACTCTATGCCTTTCGTCTTCCTTTTTAAAACTTATCTTCTTTATTTTAAACATTCGATGGTTTTCTATTTATTTATTGTTTCTCGAATATTGGTTTCACTCCACAAAATTGTTTTTTACAAATTATTTGTTAATTTATTTGTTCATTCATAAGTGTGAATGGCTATTGTTCGTTGTTCTTGAGCGATTTCACGTTGAGAAATGTTATTTTCTTCGACTGAGTTCCACCGAATTCTGCACGTATAAATAATTTGAATAAATGTGTTTATTTGATGTTGTTTTGATGCAGTCAAGGCAAAGGCAACATGCGAAAAACTGCTTAATTGAATAGTAATGACAAAAAAAAGAAAAACTTATGGAAAAGTTACAGTGAAATATATTTAAAGGAGTATGTCAAGCGTAGATTGTTTTTAAGAACTCTGTAGTTTCATTTGGGCAGATCTCGTGCATCTGGACGAAGTGGATATGATATATCTCATTTCCGTTGATTAATACTCCATTTTATTCAGAATTCCCGTACCTCCACGACGACACGACACCACGACCGTCCAGAACACATGATAAAACATTTCTGATAGTCCAAAATGTGCAAAATCTCAATACTAAACCTTGTCAGTGAGAGTCTAATTGTGCATTTGCACATGATTAAGCATGATATTTCAATTAATCAGTTTAAGAATGATCAGTGCTGATCAAGTGTTTAATTCTGACTGTTAGCATGTCAAATATTGCTTGACTCAAGCTTAATCTGGCGATATCTTGTAGTAAGTTCATGGCTGGACTAAAGCCCATCCTGAGCTCCAGTATCAGCATGTGAGCATGGTACTGGAATCACTTTAAACTGTTTTTTTGTTGGTTAAATCAACATTTCATTCCAATGAGTTACTCATGCAAATGTACCGATTTTAGGCATTTTTCACGATGTTTTCATTCATTTTTCAGTTCTGTCGATTCTAGAGGATTTCATCTGAATGCTATGAGATCTCTTCTAGAAATTAACTGCACATTAAACATTGACAAAACGATAATTTCAAGTTAAAATGCCATTCCGTCGTATCTCTGTGTGTGACTCTGATGGTTTTTCGCTGTCGCTAATCGCACATTTGCAATGTGTTGTTTCGCAACGTAAACACCACTCAACTACGGTAATCGCTCTGATGTGCCCATCCGTTTCACTGAAACGTCTCTCTTTTGATTATACGGTTTTTGGATCGTTTTGGACTGGAGGACGGGGTTTTTGAAATTATAATTTAATATTGGTCAGACTGAAATGATTCCCTAATGTTCCAGTTTCTCAGGTTGTAAATTTTATGTCAATAATCGCTCAGTTTCAGTCTAATTTCTGAGTTGTTCTAGTAGAAATCGTTATTTTGTTGTTGCGTTTGCTTGCTGTTGTTTCATTCGCTTGAATTTATTGAAATCGTTTTCTTTGCGTTGTGCGTTAAAGTAATTACAATTCGTTAGTCTTCATCGAAGGTTTTTTGCAGATTCAAGCCGGGTTCATATAACCTCGAAGATGGTGAGTGTTTATTTTTGTCTGAAGTCATTCTTTCTAGCTATAGTTTTCTGATGAGAATGCCCCGATACTCAAGAAAGTCTTGCGTCTTTCTAGCTTTAAAATGAATCATATTTAGATTGTCATGACTTCCCTGTTTAATCCACTTAATTTTTCCAATGTTATGATTCATTTTTACTTGTGAAGTGCAACAAAAATCACTATAATTGATGTTCGTTGGATGGTCATTCGTTCTCTTTCAGGGTATCGACATCAACCACAAGAATGATCGTAAAGTGCGGCGAACAGCACCCAGAAGTGAAGATCCTTACCTGCGTGTGCTTGTTAAGGTAAATCTTTCACAATGTTGAATGAAACTGAATTCATAATTTCGGTCATTGACTGATTTTATGTTCATCATGAGCGCACTACATCTTTCAGGTCTACAAATATTTGGCACGTCGAACTGCGAAAAAGTATAACGCAACCGTTCTGAAGAGACTTTACATGTCACGCAAACATCGTCCTCCAATGTCACTTGCGCGACTCGTACGAAACTTGAAGAGGGTCAGTTCATTCAAACGTTTCTTCATTGTGAACACTGATTGCTAACTTGGAAATACGCTAGTTTCGCATCATTTTGTTCTCATTGGTAATTCGTTTTCTTTGGTAATTCGATGATTGCTTAATATTCAGGTGTCTTCTTTCATTTCAGGGTGAGAATATGAAGAAAATTGCCGTCGTAGTTGGAACAATAACCGACGATCACAGAATCTATGAAGTACCGAAACTTACGGTCAGTTATCTGAATTATTTCCTATTCTTTTCTCGAAGATTTCTAGTTCCTTGGCCTCTCCACCCGCTCTTATGTGGTCGTTTATTTTGGTGTTAATCTTCAGGTAGCAGCTCTTCATGTTACTGAAGGTGCACGTGCAAGGATCTTGAAGGCTGGCGGTGAGGTAATCACATTCGATCAGTTGGCGTTGAGAGCACCAAAAGGCGAGAACACCCTACTCATTCAAGGACCCAGAAAGCAGAGGCTCGCTGAACGCAGATTCGGTCCTGCTCCTGGAGTACCGCACAGCCACGCTAAACCTCTGGTGCGCTCGAAGGGTCGCAAATTCGAACGGGTATGTTTATTGGATTGTATATCATTGTTTTATTATCATTATCAGTGGCATGTCATTTCATCTGATTCGTGATAATAATCATTAATTTTGTTTTAGGCTCGTGGTCGAAGAAAGTCACGTGGTTATAAGAACTAAGAAGGCGGTTGAATTAGTTGCGTTTGTGAGTTTTTGTGCAAATATTTTGCTGTTGTTGTTGTTGTTGGCTTGGTGGTGTGTGAAGGTGGAGAAGAGAGTGAACAAAATTGAATATTTTATCGTCATCATCCAACTACTGAAATCTTTATTTGCAATGAATGTGATCGATTGATTGCTTGTTGTTAATTTTGATTCAAACTGTACCGTTCAATAAATTTTCATTGTTATCGTTGAATATGTGTTTGGTTTTATCACTCACACAATAATTTTTGGGTTTTCAAAAGAATTCACGTTACTAAACAGCAGTTTTTGGGCTCTGAAAAGGATGCATAAATACAAAATTGACTTCGCTCACAATGCGATTTGTTTTCAACAATCTCATTGATCAACAATCAACAAGACGTTCCAAAAGTATGCTTGAGTTCAACTTTTGATAGTTATCAATATCCTAATTGAAGAAATTCCTTGCTGTCACTGAAACGTACAGCGAAAATTCAGAATGCATTCTCAAAATGTTTCGCCATGTTCATTCAATACGTTATTTGGTGTACAGGAACGGAGTAGTGGTTTGAAATGTTTATTGGCAATTGATCATTACGAAATAGAGGTATAACAAGTAAACACGAATATCTTAGCATAATATGAGTCCTTTATGAAAGTATCAAGCTGATGGGTGTATGTAATTGAAATCAACAATTGTTTCACTGGCACTTATGGTCTTTGGCCACGTCAAACGTTGAACGACAGCCATGCCATCACTTGAGACATATCCAGAATTGATTAGATCTGAAACGAGGAAATAAGAAAACAATTCACGAGAACTGCAGTGAAACACTGTCTGAGTGTGAGATATTGCGATCGTTGAGGGTTTTATGAAAATAACGTGAGAAATGAGGTTCGCATGAAAATTATATCAGGCTGCGGGCGTTGTAAACCTGCAATCTGATACATTTTTCATTTTTTCAAAGATGATCATAATATGATACCTGTAGGAGCATGTGGCATGCTTGTCCGTATTCAATGCACACGTCTCCGTTGACACCATTTATTCCAAAACGACAGTCGAATAACTGCATAGAGCACTGATGGAGATATTGTCCATTAACTGCAAAACTCTTGATTACCTCGATTTTTTGCACTTAACACTTGTAAAACATCAAGTATCATTATGTCGAGCAAAAACTGTTTGTGATGACTAATGAGGGGTTTTTTTGGAAAAACATTTTGGTAAGAATATTATTTATAACGAACATTCAGCACTCATAAAAGAGGTTTACACGAAAGAGCCGGAAAGGTCTGAGGATGAGTGAAATAAATGAATAAGCAATATTACGATTCTCCGACGGAGTCGTGGATCCTAGGCATAGCAAGCCTTGAAAGAAGCAAGCATCGAATCTGGTACTGTTATGGTTTGGACCGTTGTGAATTGTTATGTTATGGTCACAGTCCTCTTTGAGTGACTGACATTTTTCTTGTCCAGCTTCTAAACCACATATTCATTCATTGAGATTTGAATGCGACTCATCTCTGATCAAGGAAAACATCGACGAAAAATGAAGAGATCTTTCGATTGATTGTGAAAATTTCTGCACCAACTTCAGTGCATCTTCAAATTGTGAAGCATTTAATGAACAATTCAATACTTTGAAAATATTCTATGCAAAAGTAAATACTACTGAAAGTGTCAAAGGCATGAAGAGATATCAGTTCAGTTGAATTCACTTACCGGTATCGGCACGGGCAATGGTGAGAAGAGCGATTGAAGCGAACAGAATCACTTTGTTCATCGTGTAAACGTGTATCCGCAATGTAATGAATCTTCACATTCACACCCGTCTTATATAAACATTTTGTTCTATCCAACGCCCATCCTCTGCTCGAGAATCCCGAATCGCTCGGTGTCTTTTTTCTCCCTAATTTCTCGCTCTCATATCACTGTGAATCGGATCTTTTTCTTTCTGATATCGCTATTTCATGATCCTTCATCGGAAGAATGGCAGAAGAGGATGCCAGAGAATTTTCATAACCAGTTATTAATTCATTTAATACTTCACTGTTATCAGTTGCAATCCCAATAACAAAACCGAGTAATATCAAAATTTACACAACAAAAGCAATTTGCATTTCATATCAACATGTTGATGTTTAATGCAATTATTCGTCACCTAATCTGATCTGTTGTTTACAACAGAATATCGCATCACTGCAAAAAGTTATACGTTTTACTTTATTACAAATTATTTTCTGGATCATTGTGTGCCGTATTGATACGCAGCGTAACCATTATCCAAGCATATACAGAGTCCTGATTGAACACGTTGAGTGCTACAGTGAAACGCAGTATTGGCTTGTCGTAAACTAAGATAATAATGTTGTGCAAGCAGAAAGTGAATATACGAAGCAGTGCCATATGCAAACGTTTTCATGATATCATAATCCAAAGCACATCAGCATCAATGTTCACGGGCTATAGCCCGTGAACACTTCAGAGTAGGATATCATAATATGGTACGTTAGATTTAACTCGTAGATAGCGATTGAATGTTTGCAGAAATCTACGCAGCCGGATTGTCGGATTTGACGATCAATTGTAGAAGGTGCATTAAAAAGCTATTGAATTGGCCACTATGTAATCTTATTATCGAGTGGCGTCGACTGTGAAACGGTGAGTTGAATTATGAAATATTACATTGGGAGATTTCATTTTGCAGCAATTGTGCATGATGTCATTCATTAACTATGGCGCATATAAACAATGCCATGAGATTCATTTCACATTCCTTGCAAAATACTATTTGTCACTATGCGCTTTATTGTACTGCTGTTCAGCTTGTTCCTTCTCACGGCGACTGCATCAGGTAAGCAATTCATTTATTTATCTTATGGATTGCATGCAAGACATGAATTATCCAAATATCTGTGATGTTGTTTACATCGCATCAATTGTACAATGCCATTATGCTTCCTTTTATTATTCGTCACCCTGTTGAAGTTGTTAACGTTTCTTTGTGTTTTCTTCTCTCGGGCTGATATCTGAACAGTCAAGGATTTCCTTGATTTTCGGTGATCACCCCCTTTTCCACTAACTGAAGACTCTGTCCGCCTCGTCACAAAGGCCAAGAACTGCCTGTGGTGGATACAAAAGCCAAAACTGACGGTGGTAGGTGCAAGGGCCGGGACCTGATAGTGGTTTCATGCAAAGACCTTGGCATCAAGCAGATATTTTCCACTTTCACGACCGCAACTGCAAAGCTTCAGTCCCTCGATTCTTCCCTTCCCAGACCTTGAACATTGGCCATAGTTGAATTCCAAATAGCACTCACTTCAACGTTCATATTCACTCCGAATGCTCACAATTCGAATTAATTCGCAGCTCTCGTTGGGGGAACGTGTACGGAGGTACAGAACAAATGCCGTGCAAGTTCAGGTACATGGTGGGACTGTTTTATGTATACGATTATGTGTTCGCCTAATTTGCAAGGTAATAACCCTCTTTTATCATCGCTTATTTTGGATGCTTTCATTTTGTTATGAGATGAAAATTTGGCAAGATTTTTTTAAAATGATCCCTTCAATTGGTTGACGTGATAACTATTTTGCAGAGTCAAAGGAATTGATTATGCACCGTGTAAAAAGCAAACTTCAAACTCAGAATCAGAGGGCATTAAAAGAGTTTTCTTTTTTAGGAACTCAATTTGGGCCCTAGAAATCAATTTGGTTTGGTGGCTAATCGATGGGTCGAAGGCAGTTATCTTCTGAGTCTTCCATTCTGATAAAATGCTTCATCGATAGCGATTGATTTTGGGTTTAAAATTGCGTTCGTTACAATTGCTTTATAGCATCAGGTTATGAAACGAGCGAGGTTGTGCATGTTCTTTTCAAAGTGTGATCATGCAGAAACAACCATTGTTGACTATTAAACTTTATTTTCATCGAATAAAACGTTTTCGAAATTGAACAAAAGGAACACCAACAAATAATAATAAATATCCGTCATCATCATCATCATAATAACAATAAGTAAATTGGCCGTATATCACATCAATAGCAAAGCGAATGACAATATTCTCATGTATAAAATCATTCGAAAACAACTTCACTCGAATAAACTCACTCAATACCCAAAACATCTATCAAAACTGTGATCAACTCATCGAGAGTCGAAACACTAATCAAATTGATTGTATCTTTCATCAGTTACGCAATTTTTCATAATCCTTTCATATAACCACAAAAATAGCTAACGTTTCATCCGCCGTTGCTCTGAACAATTGTATTATTATAGCAGCAACAATGCAACCAAAGATCGTCGATTAATTTTTTTCTCGTTATCTCGAATTAATTAATTAATTAATTAATTAATCGCTCAATCATCCAGATAATTTTATCGTAAAATGAATGCATCGTGCTCTAGGAATGAAGATAGAATAGGAACCGAATGGAGTGTTGAATCACGATAATCTGTTTACAACTATTCAATCAGAAATGGTAACCATTCGATATCCACATCTAGTTTTCGGGCAGCGAAAAACCTACTTAATATTGGTGCTTTACAATACAATTTGTTAACGTAATCTGACGTATCAATCGTTTCTCTATTATTGCAATAATAATTTATAACACTGTTACCACTGCAAATGCCCACACAATAGATATAGCTATTACACTGACGCTTTAGGGGTTGGCACATTCAAATCTACCGTTCTCTCGGCTTTGCCCCGTAACACATGATTTTTTTTGCTTCATTCGATCCAGCTGAATCTCTGGATTCAGAATAATATATATTTTTTCGAGCGATTCTATTTTCTTGAGCAAACATAACAATTTTTTAAAACATTTCTCAATTAGCGCTGAATCCCTCAGTCACATTCCCATATGATCACCATAGATCAATACAGGCTATACATAACTATAGGAATTTGAGATTGATGTATTCAAGCTCAC